AACCCAGCCTGCTGTCAAGAGGATGCACACAGAGGACGGAGCAGGCATGTTACAGAAAGCTATCGAGGGCCCCCTTCCTCTTTCTGCTTTTCCGGGCAATTCTTCCGGAACAGGAGAAAACGACAAGGCAGTGTCACTATAGCAACTAACCTACATGGTGGACTGCAGGTCTTTCTCCAGCCAGAGGGTGGAGCCCATCTCCTTAAATATGATCTCGGCCCACTGCAAAGCAGGAAGGTCCTTCCCGGGGCCAAGAACAGAGGACTGACCACCCCCAAACTGAAAACCAGGCCAAGAAATAATCCAGCTCTCTGAGCAGCGCCAGGAAGCAAGTACCTTCCGTGCTGCAGAGAAACGCACAGGTTTAATAGGCAGGATAATTGAATCCTGCATTATACTTATCAGTTTCCCTAATTAATACAATACAAATATATCTGCTCCATAACACAAAAACATTTTGGGTAATAAAAATCCTCACTGATAACAAAAACAATTTACAAACAAGCATGCTAAGTATTCTTCTCCATCCCAGATATATTTGGAAAAGAGAACAGATATCATAGCAACTATTTCATTTGCATTTCATTTGCTTTATCAATTCTGAAAAAAAAAGCATTTTTTTTCTGGAGGGCTGCAGTTCCAAGCTATAAATTATTATTATGACTATTCTGCATTTTAGTGAAATGTTTTAATTTCTCCAAGTGCATTTCTGGGGTAATGGTGTGTCGAAAAACGTTATCTTATTGTCAATTATTCCACTACATGGAGATGGAAACAAGCCTAAAATGTGGTTAACCCAAGCTCCTATTATTAGTGATTTCTACTCTTCTGGATAAAACGTTTTCACCAAACATCCTAGTCCTGCTGGAAGAGCTGATTCCAGAATTTGAGGTGGCTTCCTAAGGGGTCTGATTGTAAGAGGGGCCTCAGGGTCATTGCTGGTCTGAGCCCCTGGCAGGCCCCAGACGCTACACTCCAGGAGCTTGGAGCAGGCGGCAGACCCGCGGAAGTGTGAGTGTCAGGGAGCACAAGCCACGGGGCCTTGGGGCTCGAGTGGGCAGAGGGTGGAGTGGGCAGAAGCTACACACTGAGAAGGTGGGAACGTGAGGCCCTGACCAGCACTGGGGTGGGAAGTGTGGAAGCCACAGGCTGGTTGTCCTGTACTTAACAACAATTAGTAATTGCTCTTTTCCCCACCTGGAGGGCTGCCTCCCAGCCAGCCTGCTGTTGGGGTTCTCGCCTGCCTTGGCCCCAAGCACGCTGTCGCCAGAGTCAGCCAGGAACTACACCCAGGGGGCTCAAGACGCTATGGTCCCCTTCCCAAACACCACTCAAGGAGCCCCCTCCCTTGATGCCAGTAGGAAGTGCATTCAAATGGCTGGTTTCGGTGTGGCGGGAGTTTATCCGCCATTAACCCTTTCCACATCACCAAGGAAGCGGCGCTGGGGCTCCGCTCCGGGATTCGTGAATGCCACCCGCGGGCCCGAGATGATGGCCGCGGGCAACTGGGGAGTGGGCACAAACGTCGCTCAACGCCCCAGACCCCGCTCCCCGCAGCCAGGCCGGCGGTCGCCGTGTGAGAGGCGCGCTGTCTGCACCCCGGGTGACGGTGCCTGTCTGGGCGGCCCAGGGTACGATGCCCCTGGGAATCCTCCCGCCCCGCGACACCTCCCGGCGCGGTGCCCCAGCTGTCGCCAGCAATTGTAGGAAAAGGCACAACCTGGCTGAAGCAAGTAGGACATTTCCTGCTCCAGGCACCGGGTTTCCCTCGCGATCTGGCGGGCTGGGCTGTCCCGGGGCTCCGTGGCCCGCAGCAGCCTCATTTTGGGGACGGCGGAGGCTCAGACTGGGCGCGAGGAGGCCCCGCGCTGTGAGGTGGTGGCGGGGTAGCAAGGCTCCGCGCTGGCCTCTTTTTTTGGTAAAGAATCCATATTTTTCCATCACCTCCAGCGCCCATGGCAATTCTCCATGACAGGTGTTCCCCAGCACCTGACCCGTCCTTTCCTCCCTTTGGGATGGGAAGGGACAGGAGCCTGAGCCAGGCGGCCGGCGGAGGAACCGACCACCCCGCGCCATCCCGGGCCAAGCCTGTGCCCTGGACGCTGACCTCTCCCCACCCACCCCAACCAGCTGCGAACGTGCGCCCAGAGCACTGATCACCCACCCCCACTGCAGTCCCCAGGCTGTGCCCGGGACTCCGACCACCCCTCATTCGCCCAGCCCGGAGCCTGTGCCCAGGGCACAGCCCACGCCCGACTCACCCCAGCGGACCCCGAGCCTGTTCCCGTTCCCCTGACACCCCACACCCACCCCAGCCCCCAGCTGTGCCCCGGACGCCCACAAGCCCGCGCCACCCCAGCCCCCAGCCCCGTCGCCCCGCGAAAGACCCGCTGGGTCTCCGGCTCAGGTTCTCGGACACCTTCAGCCACCCCAGCCCTCACTTCTCCTCTTTTTCAAGAAAGCGCCAGCGAGTCTGCTTCCCAGGAAAGCAGAAGCCCCAGCCATGCGTCCGAGCCTGAGCCCCGCTCCTGCCCGAGACGCCCCGTTCCAGGCTCGGCCGCCGCGTCCCCCTTCATCCCTGGCGGGAGCGTCGCCGGCAGAAAGCGCTGGGCAGGGCGCTCCGCCGACATCCCCATCAGTGCTGCTCGGCCGCCCGGACCTGCTGCCGCCTCCGGAGCGCTCGGCTCGGCTCGGATCGCCGGCTCGGCTCGGCTCGCCGGCCTGGGCCAGGAGCGGCGGCAGCACGCCAGGCAGCCCGGGGCATCGCCTTGCAGGGACGCGCCGCGCCACCCGGGGCCTGGCGCCCGGGCCCTGCCCCGGAGTCCAGAGACGGAGGCTCGGGCAGCGGCGCCCGCCTCCAAAGTGCCCGAGTGCCGGTAGCCTGGGCGGACTCTCGCCCTCCTGGCCCAGCGGAGGACCGGCCGGGACCCGGGGGACGGCGCGCCCCGAGCTCGCAACTCCGTACAGACTCCGGGCGGCCCCGGGGCGCCCCGCCGGGGCCGGGGCAGGGGCTGAAGGGCCGAAGGGCTGTGCGGGGCCCGGGCCGCGCGGTACTCACTGCAGTAGGCGATGAGCAGGCTGGCCAGGATCATGAACGCCCAAAAAGTTGAGGACATGCTGGGCAGGGCGGTCGCATCTTGCCGGCTGCTGGTCCTGGGCGATGGCGCCATTGAAGCCGCGGCGCCCGCGCGGGGGGCAGCAGCGCGTCTCAGCAGCCGGCCCTGCCCGCGCCCCCGCGTCGGCCTCCACGTGCGGGCCCCGCGCGCGCCATCCTCCGCCGCCG